CAGATATTATGTTGCTTTAAATACCACATTACATGCGGTACCCTTGTTTGAGTCAATGAATATGTATGACTATGTCAGTGAATATGTATGCCTCCTAATTTAATCAATATACTTACAAACAGCACTAGCAGCAATGTCTGTCACAAATGGCATCCCTTTAGAAGCAGGTTAGCCCAATTTGTATATGCATCATCATTTATTTCAAAGCGCTTCTGAATTAACTGCAAAATTGTACATACCCTGTGAAACAGGGTACAGGAAAGCTGCATTCCAGGAAAGGAATTTAAACTTTTCCTGTGGTCAAAGAAGGGATAACCCTTTAAGCAGCGCCCTGCGACGCAGGAGATGCCAGCTGCAGTCCTGGCTGTTGTACGTGCCCTACATGTAGCCTCAAGGAGAGTACTCAGTTTGACTAGCAATTTTGGTTAGGGTGCTTTCCACAGAAAGCTGATGGATTGAGGAAGGATTCTCAGTGCCCACAGAGGGTTTAAGAAATGGCAAACTAACCAATACGTGTTTAAGTACATCCTTACTGAGTCAAAAAGGACTGTGTATATGTGGAATTCCTTGACATTGCTGCCTCAAGAGCTGAAGGATGAGAGCCGTGATGGAGAACCCCAGAGGAATGCTCCTTACCTTAATGGAGCCAGTGTACACAGGCGATGGGGACCTTACGTACCATGGGAGGTGGTGTAACATTTTCCAGAAAATGCTAGGTTTTGAATTCAGATGGTAAGAGGCAATAGGATTCACCCAACTTTCACCTTCTAAAAAGTAGGCTTGTAATTAAGGTATCGTTAAATTCCTTCTCTGATGGGTGAAGAGGAGGCACCTCCACTCAGGGATTCATCTTGCTTGTTTTGAATGAAACAAATCACACCCCATCTCCCTTTTTCCTTCTCACTTTCCTCCCTCCCTTTCTTTTTCTCTCTCTTTCTCCCTACTTTCCTTGTCACTGTAGAAGCAGACAAGACAATTAACTTGAGCTAATTACCCAACTTTCAAAATAACTCAAGTCAGCTAGGTGAATCTCACCTAAAAAGTGGGAGTGGGGACCACGTTTTGCTTCTGTGGAAGGGCCCTTCGCAGGATACCAAATTTCAGGTTTCATACCTGTTGCACATTGGAAGAAGTAACATCATCTGGGAATGCAATTTTTAACAGTGTGAAAGCAGGAGGAGGAAAGGGAAAATCTTTCTACCCATCAAGCACAGTGGTGGAGGGGGGAAAAAAAAATTCTGTCTTTGGAAAGTAACAATGCTAAAAATGAGAGATCTTAGTGGGTATCAGATGCCCTTTCCTATGGAGATGAGTTTGGCTTCTTTTTGACATGGTTCGTAATGATCACTGCCTCTGGCCCTTAATGGTCGCTTCTCTCAGGAGCCGTTTCTGTAGCAGCTTGTTTGGTGCTTGCGGTAGGTCTCTGTGCCTGAGCATGCATTTGTTGCTCGTGGTTTGGGCTTTAATTCCTATTTGTTGCTTCTTTTGGCACAGGACATCCTTGGTAGGGTTCTGGAGTGCTCTTATTTCAGGGTGTGAGAGATTCTTAGGCCTTTAATCTGTGAATACAAACTACATCTGTCACCTGGGTATCTGTAGCAGTTTCTAAGCAACCAGAAGAGTTTGGAGGTTTTTTCTGCAATTCATATTTAAGAAATAATTTCCTTATATATCAACGAGAATCAGCCTGAGCACCACCCCAGGAGACAGAAAGTGTAAACTGTAATTTAGGCTATTTCTAGTCTATAGCGTGAATTAGAGTATTTTATATAGTCTTGGAAAATAAACCATATAAATATGTGTAAGCACAGAACAGGTACAACTAATGTGAGCATGGTGTGAAGCTTTAAGTAACTCAGGGAATGTGAGGAGCCAAGTTGGAACATACTCTTGACATGTAAAAATATTTCCCACCTGCCTTGTTTGCATAAGAACAAGGTTTTAGCAAGTACATATTTCCATGTCAAAGTTAAAAGTGGGGAAAATATTTTCACCCTTGTAGGAAAAACGCATAATCTTGGCACAGCCAATTTGCATTTAGTAAATTTAAAGTATCTAAGTCCTTTCAAGCTACATGGGAAGTGTATGAACTTGAGACAGGGATTCCATTTCAATGAGTCGATTTGCAAAGGCAAACACGTGGAGCAGTAATTGATCTGATGTCTTTCCGTGCATTAATTTGTAATGCAATTGGTTGTGGCAGTCCCAAGCGATTTATGCTTCTGGGATTCATCTTGCTGTCCTGTATCACAGAGTGAAATAATAAGCTGAAGTTCTAAATGCTGTGTGCTTAATGGAAAGGAAGTACCTTGAAGATGTAGTAAGTGTGAAGAAATATAGAATTCTAAAACTACCCCATCTGTTGCCACTGCTCATACACACAGTGGTTGGGGAATGCTGGCCCAGCTGGAGCCCATGAATCTGTGGAGATTCTCTTCTAACAAGAAAGCACCCCAGAAAATGCATTTGGGACTAATTATGGCACCTTTTAGACTATTAATAACCTAGCTTTAGGCCATCCCTTTGAAGGCATGTTACATTCCTTCAGACACACTCTGCAAATGTCCTGTTGCTTTAGCAATAGGGATTGCATAGGCAGGCTTCATGGGTGATTTAACTAATGTGCTGGAGATTGTAGATAAACAGGATCCAATTATATCATACCTATTCAAAATAACACAGTAGAATCTATATAAAAGTAAAATGTAAAAACTGCATTGCCATGTAGCTGTTGAGATCAGCTTGTCACTGCCCTGTCAAAGGAGTTGGAGAAGGCCTCTGATTCCCTGTAGCAGGGGAGATAAATAATCCTATCTTAAGAAGGCACAGCTGAGACTCAGTAGATCTGTTTTGGACTTTGCCCACATTATTGCTCTCTGAATTTACAGTATACACAGGCACACATTATACATGTTTGGAGTTCGTGCAAAGCTCAGTCTCTTGTTCAGTTTGTTGATGTAAAGTGAGGTTATGCTACCTTTTCTGCTTGAAGCTTTGTTTGTAAGCATATGATGCTCTAGTAATAATGAATGTAATGCATTAATAAAGCAGCATACTCTTTATTTTTCCCTTTCATTAGATCACTTCCTGCTCCACTGTGTTTGATGTGTTAGCTGAGAGCAAAGTGAAATTAAAGCAGTGTTTGGAGGACTGCAGGGAAGAAGTATTTCCTTCCTTAAGTGTCCTAAAGAGACTTTTCGATTTCAGCCTGTCGTTTTGGTGCTGCAGGGAAGGTGGGGGATTAAAGGTCAAGAATACAAAGATCCTTATGCTGGAAGGAGATGCAAGTGGTGTCCTGACGTATGAAAATATTTTGAAAGCTGCTGATAGGGAACTGTCAGGGAAACAACGGTGTAATCCCATAGCTGCTGGGCACCGCTGTCCTCGGCAGAGCATTTTAACTGCTGTCAGGTTCCTGGGAGCCATTGGGTGCTGCTCATGTGCTGCTCAGCTGCTCCACTCATTGCACTTGATGTTGGATGGAGATTATTTTGAAGGAGTATTTTGTGCAGTCCATGCTGTACTAGAAGTCTTCTAGTTTGTAGTTATCTTACAGTTTGGCCTGATCCAGGGCTGTGATGTCAGGCTGCAGTGAAATGGAGCACACAGTAGCATTGGAAGATGACTCTTGTTTAATAATAAGCAGTCGGTTTGGTATTTAATGGCATGTAAAATGCAACGTTTCTAAGAGTGGACGTGACTTTAGGAAAATGGTGTGAGGAGTACAACTAAAGTTAAGATAATGCATTGCAATACAGTATTAGATGTGATTTTATGAGTTGTCACAGTCTGCACAGCCATAAACTGGATGAAATAAAAGCTCTCTGTAAACAATTGGGTGCCTTGTGAATGGATTTCAGTTCCTCACAGGAGACAAACAGCACTTCTAATTGTTAATATATTTCAGTCAGAGGCACAGCAGGAGCCATGTTTTTGCCTCTGTTCAGACGAAGCTGATTCAGGAGAATAGATGTGGCCTGATGCCAACGCTGCTGCAGCAGAGAAAGTGCTTTCTTGGGATTTTTACCCCACACGTACGGCCTGCATCGGTGTGGGCACTTGCAAGCGTATGGAAAACGCGGCCCACTAGTCTTTGATACTGCAAAGCGTTGCCTCAGTATGGTCCTATCTGAAAAGATTTATGGGCAAAGTAACTGCAGCCATGCACTCCAAAAGCATCTGAAGAGGTCTTTCTGAGCGTACAGGAGTCCCTTCTTAAAACCATGTATTCAGAGGGGAAGCTTCTGTGATATAGAGAGATACACAGAGAGTTTTGTCCCGCACTAAAGTGAATTCAGTTGGTATCTTTTATACGTATGAAGTTCAGTTTTAAAAATCAGGGCCTTCATATAATGTATGTCTGTGGGATATTCCAGCCTGCGCTAGCTCCTTTGTTTTTTATAAACTGACTCTAATACTACTGTCCCTCCTCCAGTAGCTAATACACAAATATGTCCTGATAATTCCTTTTCCTTTCACATACGTGAATTTTCGATTTCTTGTGTGAAATGCAGTTGTTAGTTAAAATGTTAAAGTTGGCTGAAATGCGGTTTACCTTGTTAGTTCTCTTTAGGATAGGCCAGTCATGTGAACTGGATGGCCTGGTGATGGCCCTTCTGGTCAAGGTGTTGCATTCATTTTCAGGCAGGGCAAACTTTAAAGTTACCTTTTACAATCTCACGTGAATAAGACTGGAAGAAACCTTCCTAGTGTCATCTTAGCTCTTTGGCCAAAATGTGAACTCTACTACTCTTTCTGGCTTTGAAATGCTGATTCTAGCCTTCTTGTGGGTTCTTAAACACCTTCTCAAATGACCCATTTTAATAACCCAAAAGCCATTATATAACGAGCAGCCATAATTTAGTCCAAAGCTCTAGGGGACCCTTGCAGTTCAGCAATGAATAGTTAATGCAGTATAATGTTTAGCAGGTTATTAGTTTTCACTGTACAAATGCTGATCAGGGAATGCTCTTATAAGGTGTTTAAAAGAAAATGTAATTAACTGGTTGCGCACTTCTGTTGCAGCTCAAATTGAAATTATTCCATGCAAGATCTGTGGAGACAAATCATCAGGAATCCATTATGGTGTCATTACATGTGAAGGCTGCAAGGTAAGCTTCTAAAATATTAAGTCTTAGAACAGCATTTAGCCTTTTGATTGTGATTGTTTTCCTTCCTTTTTTAAAGAGCAAGCATTGTGCTGAAGCTGGATTGGTGGATTCCATTTCAAAGTCAAAATCAAAATGGGTTATATTGGGCTTTTAAATGGGGCATTTATGTGACACACGTGTCCCCCCCTAGGTTTCAGGACACACTTGAAAAACTCAGGCAGCTGTGCTGTGTGCGCCTTAAACTGTCTTTCTGGGTATAAGAAGAGGTCCAGAAAGATGATTCTGATTCAAAGAACCTGCTATGTGGATTCACTTTGAGAGGGAGTTTGTGGTTTTCTTGAATCTCCCTCTCCATTTTTGCTTTGCAAATTGCACACCATACTCAGTTATGTCAGTTAGTATGTAGATGGTAGGCACCTAGCACTGCAAGAAGAAGACGTCAAGCATTCCTCCAGCAGAGTGACTGTACCTTCCCAGAAATAAACCACGTTGAAGTATGCGAGAGCTCTCCGACTTCTCAGTTTTCTTTTGTCATCTGCTAGAATTACAAATCTTTTCTTTTTGGTGTGGAAGATGACGTTCCACAAATAGCACATACCTGCTGGTGTTCAGCATACTCAGGTCTGCCTGGAAGCAGTGCCTATTCTTTGCAGTGCAATCACTGCTGTGTAAGCTTCAGGCTTTGAGTGTTTTCCTGTGTTTGTACCTTCAGTAACTCAAGTGAGCAAGGATTACACTATAAGCACTTGCATTTTGTTTAGTTTGTTTCTTGTGACCAAGAATTACAACAGACAAGGCTAACACTAGGCCAGAGTGCTGTGAAGGTCATCACTTCTTCTTATCCCAAGCACAGAACTGCAGCACTAGGTCGGGGTGACAGCGTGCCCAGTAACACATTCTCTTGGTCCCATAGAAGTACTGTTAAGAAGGGGTCTGGGGTGGGGGATGTGTGAGAATGTTAGAACGATATGGGACAGCAAATTCTGCTCTTTGTAACTGCTGTTGCTGTGGAAAATGCAGGAGATGCACTAAAAATGCATGGATAATAAAGTGGTTACCATTTCAGCTTTATGTAATTGAGCAGCATTTATCAAATTTCAGCTGTGTGAAGTAGCAGACATTTGCAGTGAGAATTCAGCTCTATGACTATCCTGACGAAGAGTGTCAAGGTATTTTCAAGGTCCGAGACCTCTTTAATCCTTAAATGGTCTGGTACCAGCATACCTGAGAGACTGCCTCGAGATCCATGACAAACATCATTGTCAACAGCCTGAGGTTACCACAGTGCCAACACTCATCTGTGCAGAAAACAAGCCTTTCTCAACGTGGCTTGTTGCAGAACAGGAACGGGCTGCTGAAGGAAAGGAAGTCTGCCAGCTGTATTACCTTTTGCTTCATCTTCATGCTGCTCTCTGGCCTTGTCTTCTCCAAAGTCCTGTGTGTGAGAAGAGCCCCCACTGGAAGCAGCAGGATGTCTGCATGCATGAGGAAGCAACAGTGCACACCATACTCAGTTATGTCAGTTAGTATGTAGATGGTAGGCACCTAGCACTGCAAGAAGACGTCAAGCATTCCTCCAGCAGAGTGACTGTACCTTCCCAGAAATAAACACAAACCTGAGTTATTAGGAGGAGAGTCCTTTGTGTACCTCCAGATGCTAGCCTGATAGTGAGAAACGTGTGCAGTTCCTTATGGTTTAGAACAAATGCTTTTCCTTCGATTTCTGTATAAATTGAGTTCTCTAGGAGTATTGTGCGATCCTCAGTCTGCTTCTGAGAGCGACACCAGAATGGTCGGCTGGTGGGAAAGGGCAGGAGGTAAGGCAAGCAAGCATGTGCAGCACACTGAAACCCATTTTAACCTTGAGAGCAGAGTGTGCATGGGTAAGGCGGACATTGGCCGAGTGAAAGAAGGTAGGCATTTTCTTCTTCTCCTGGAGTAGCAGAATAAAGTTTTCTAGACATACATTTTCAGGCAAAACTTTAAAGCCAATGAGTATCAACTCTGTTAAGTAAGTTGTTTCCCTTTCAGGAGGGAAATAGCTCCAAAGCTCACTCTTCTCTAATGGTAGAGCCTAGATGACCTGCAAGTAGTGATAGATAGGGGAGTGCTCGTGGGCACAAGTCACAGGAGGAGTTTAAATTATCACGATCTAGTCGGTATTTAAAATGCCCTACTGTAGCAGATGGATTTTGTTTGTGCAGTGCTCTTCCACAGTAATGTCAACAAAGTCTCACCCAACAGAACTATTTTGGCGGGTGAAAAAGTTGGCATCGTTTGGCTTCTGCCAAATGAGCCAGGTGTGTTGGTATGGTTTTTTCCCCCAGCTTCTCTGTGGCTGCCATCTCTGCAGGTTTGAGCATGCTTGTGCTGCTCTCCGTGTTATGCTAAACCTTCCTTTGTAATAAGTACTTTGCTATGAAGACCTAGTTCCCAGTCGTGCTCTCTGATTCCTGGAGCACACATCCTGTACCAACAGACAATCCCAGAGAAGTCAGTGAGGTTCTGCACTGGTACTACAAACCCTTCCATGTGCATCACATTCCAAGTTCAGGGCCTTTCTCATCAGAAGGGAGCAGATGCGCTGCTGCCCTCTCCAGCCAGACCTGTCAAGAACCATCTACAGGCACCAGTAGCAACAGCAGCAAAGTAGGATGGTTTCAGCTCTTACTGGTTTTCGCTCTAGTTTAAACAGTGTCAACCTTGATGTTACTTAATAGTAACATTAAATGTGGCTGTGTAAATACTAATAACCACCAGAAATATAATTTATTTAAAACCTGAGGTTTTAGTTGCAAAGACCTGCTTCTCAATCATAATCTGCATCACGTATGAAATGACAGACAAGCTCATCAAATTGACTTGTGCTGGTCCTGTTGCTCTTCGCCAGGTTTGTGACCCATGCGTTTCATGTAACTAAGTTTTCTGACCCGTTTTTGTGGCTGTATTGCATTTCACATAGCTAAAATTGAAGATTTGTAATGAAGCCAGTTGGTGTTTCTTGAGAAGTTTACATTTCCTACCTTGTTACAATGTTACTGGCTGTTTTTATGAAGTTAGTGGCTGTGTTTTGCACAGACATTGTTGAGTAGTCTCAACTCATTAACCCATTCAGCTGAATTTGAATCTGCCTTTAAAAATACAGTTTAACACTCTCTCTTCTTTTTTTCCACCCCAGTGAAAAAGTCTTATAGCCAGGCTCCATTTTGTACTTTACCTAGGAGGGCTTCTATTGCTTATTATAAATAAAAATTGTAAAAGAGAGGGTTTTTTTCTATCTGACTGTTGCTGATATCCAGCATACAACATACAGTGACAGAAAAGGGAAGAAGCGTGGATGAAGAATGACACAAAGACTGTACCATGACTCGGAAATAAAAGTTTACTCTTCTGTGTAAGATTGGAAATAGTATTATTGTGGTAGCATTACTGGAAAAAATAGTATCTGTATGGAGCACTTCCTGAACCATTAGTTGTGGGAACCTTTTGCTCTGTGTCAGGGAAGCTGACAAAAGCTGAGAAGGGGCACTGGTTTGTACACCACCATATTCTTTTCTCATAGCTGAACATTGAATCCAGTTCAGTATTGGCAGAATAATGCCCGAGTGCTTCAAAAGGACATAGCAAAGCATTTGGTTTAAAACAAAGTTTGTGTTGTTCAACTATGTCTCTTTAATTTGCAGATGCAGTTACTTGCTTTAGCTGTCAATAATGTCCATTCATGCTCAACTGACCAAGAAATGCATAAGCGTGAACCCTCTCTTGATGTGACTGTACACAGCTGGTCTCACAAAACCATCCAGGCAGGGCATTTCTGGGCATTGCTTACCTTTTCAAAGGTTTATACCTACTGGCTTTTGTTTCCTGTGTCTTTAAGACCTAAGATGGTCTTGGTTCATTGTCACCACAAGGAAATGTCCACGTTTGTTGCTTCAGAAAACAATATTTGGTGCATTGTAACTTCCCATCTTGTATCGCTTTTGTTCATTCGTTTCATTCATTCACTTTCTTTACTAGCCAGTTTTTCATGGCTGAGAGTGGCATGTTGCATTGGTGTTGGAAACATTTACCTCGAATTCATGCTTTTGGTGGTCTTCTCTCTTAAATTGTTTCCCTAGCCAATTTCAAGCAAACCATGTTTGAAGGGAGACCAGCCACCTTACAGAAATCGCTATTCACAGACCTCATATGACCTGATAAACACAATCCTCACTCCTGTCTTTATTACATTTGTCAAACTGAACATTTTTTTTTCTGTTTTCAGAGGCACTATAACTTTGTTATCAAATACTCGAACAAGTTTATTAAACAATATTGTTGCAGCACTCTTCTCTTTTGACAACGAAAACATGTTAATTGTTACAAAAAGGTTAAAAATCCAATTTGAATATTCACCTGTCTTTCATATGACAGGGTATTTTTCTGATGTTTCTTTGAAGAAAATTTGCATTGTTTTCCTTTAGAAAACAGTAAAAGAATGACCCCCACCCCCCCGCAGTAATTGTTAATTGCTCAGAATATTGCAAAACTTAATGATACGTGGAAGTCTTTAAGTATTAGCCATAAATCATGGGATTATGAATAACCCTTTGTTGTCACAGGCTTGCATACAGTCATTCCAAAACGTCTGCCATTAGGATGCAGCAAGGCAGCTGTCAGCTGTTTTCTTGTAATTAAACAGCCAATGAGCAGCTAATTAAGACATATGTGTATACAGAAGTGGAAGTGGGTATGTTAATGAACTGTAGGAATCAATTCATTAAATGAAAATTTGTCAGAAGACCAAACATGAGATCAGCATTTCAGCCTATGTCACAGCGGTGAGGGAGTCGGCGCTGTGCCATGCGGGACACGGGGAAGCACAACTGGCTCTTCCCAGCCCTTTGCTAAGGAGCAAGCTTAGACACAAACGCCTGTAACTCTGAGCCACTGAGCAGTGAAGTTGTTGAAACTATTAATCGACTTTGCAAAAACTCCTATTTACCTTTCAAAGTTCTTCTTTAACAAGTTGTTATTCAAACTGACTTGGAAATGAAAAGTTCCTGTGCCCCTTTTTCCCCGACTTGGTTTCATGGCATCATATGAAAAACCATATATTGTGTTGTATGTATCAATAGGAGTCTGGAATGCAGAGATGAAGCTGTGGCTTGTAATCTGCTGTGCTCTTGTTCTGGCACTGTGTTAGTAACACAACGACATAGAACAGGAGACACACAAAGCTCAGCGGTGCCTCACTGCCACGGGCTGGGGCTTTGTGCTGCCATCCGCGAGAGGCAGGGCTCCACGCGCTCACTGCCAGAGGCCGTGGCTCAGACCGTGTCCTCCATCGGAGTGCTGTCGCGCGGTGACTTCTCAAGTGCAGCAGTAGTTTGGGTCATGTGTTTCATCAAGAGGGGGCCATTCTGCCCGTGACCCATTAGGCCATCGTCTCAATGTGCAGTAATGGTTGTGAGCACGCATGCAATTAAAAGCATGTGGCCTGGGCCGGTCTGCATAAAGCTTGAATGTGTGTACACGTAGCACGCACGCAACCCCCTCCTCCTCCGTCCTGGCGGAAAAATTACAGCTCGCTCCAAGCCTCGGGCAAAAGCGAGGAGGCAGAGCAACAGCGTACAGTGTCTCTCCCTTCTCCCTTTCTAATAAAGGGAGGAAAAACAACCAAGGGAGAAACTATATTTACTTACAGAAGGCTCCTGTAATAAAGGATTCTCCACATGCCTTACAGTGGTATGAGAGCCCAAAGAGCACCAAAGGGTTAGAAAACTCACAGTAAATGACAAAAATATAGAAGAACTTTGAGAGTAAAACACCCTCAGTTTAACTTCGTTGTCAATTCAATCCTGAATCTCAGATATGTTTATTTCAGAGCTCTGAACAAGTTCAGATTAATTTCTTAAGTTTGAGGCAAGAGGCTTTTTTTTGCTTTGGCTCCTGCTGTTTTCAACATGCCTATATGGCATTGTAGGGTTTGTTTTTAAAAGCACTCTGCTCCGTCGCTGGTTTGTAAAGTGCAAGTGCTTTTTAAAGGCTGCGGTTTCAGGCAGTTCTGCTCTATTGAAAATCTAGCCTCGAGCTGTAACTTGGCTGATATATTGTACACTAAAATGTATCGAGCAGCTGTGTCTCTAGGGAAAATCAGGAAAAGCAAAAAGCCCAGTATTTTCTCCATTATAATACTAAAAATAATCCTCAGCTTGACAAGACTATTTTTAATAAAGATAAATATGCCAAACTGGCAATACAGACTCAGTGTATGTCTCAGCTAAAGGAAAACTTACAGATCTTTGAGGTTATTGGGCCAGGTTCACCTTACATAGTGCTGAAGCTGACTTTCAGTGCAACTGTTAAATCATTTTGAGAACTGAAATTTTAAGGGACTGGTAATGTGGAGATGCAGAACCTTCATCAGTAAGTCACTGGTCAGGTCAATACCTAATCCTTTGTTGCTAGAGAATCGCATTGCACTTGCGTGTCTGCTTGCACCGAGTGACAGCTTTGCTAAGGGTGCTAACAGAATAATGCAGATAACTTTATCTCCTTACCTAAGAACTGGTTCCTCCAGAGGGATCAGTCAGGATATTGGAATGGTAGAAAGTTCCATAACAGATCAGGTTTTCTTTAGGGTGAAATGCACTCAATCAGAGCTCAATATGTGCAATACTTCCAGCCTCAGCAACAATCATCTCACTACTGACGAACATTAAAAAACAGTGCAAAATTCCATCATAGAGAAACAAAGACCAGAATAAGCAGGTGAGAAACAACATACGGGAAAACAGGTTTAATCACAGGCACATTCCATTTCCTCATTTTTCATACTCCACATTTCCCCATTAAAGCTTTTATTAAAGGGCTGTAAGTGTCCGAAAGTGGTGCCCTCCTCATAAGGTGGAGCAGGGGGCTTTATCTCAGTGTTCTGTCATGTGTCTGCCTGCAGGAGGATTGCTAGGAAGTCTCCTACTTGTCATGCAGAAGTCCTTCCTGTTGTTTATTTCACCAAGTGTCTGGACAGAGCATGCATGTGCTGAAGGACTCCAGAATGTGGCCTTCAAATAAATAAAAAATTGGTAAAAGTCCAGCTTTAATTAAAAGGTGCCCAGCCTTTCCAAGGAAGTATTTTCTTTGCAGCACTGTTAATTAATCCATTATGTGGCAACATAAAGGTAAAATACTGTGCTCACTGATCTCAAACGCCTCTTTAGAGTGACAACATCTTTTCAGAATCCTTGTGAAGTAGGTATTACGCACACACCAGCTTATGTTTGGACAGTCTGTGGCAAAAAGATGAAATGAACTTCAAAGCAAGCAGCTGGCATAGTGGTGAATAACATGCACCATTCTGATGGAGAGAATGAAGTTCTAACTGCTGTGTAACCTCCTAGGGCTAACCTTTGGAGGTGGGTCTACCCGTAACAGAAAAAGAGACTGAGACGTGAGATGATATGTAAAATCTGTTTCAGCTTCCCCTCTCCTTAAAAATGTAAATCCTGCACCAAGTTGAACAAAACCTTGGTTGTCAACATCAAACTAAGTAAGAGAAAACATTTTTTTAAATTGTTCTTTCTGGAAGGAACTGCCCAGCATCATGCTCTGTATTTTTAAACACATACAGACACTGGTGAGGCTGAACACCACAACCTGCCATTGCCACCTTCAAGGAGCAAAACAGGGTGGCAGCTGTTGAATCTTCTTTGTTTTTGGAGATCTATGCTGGCCCAGGAAGGGCAGGAAGTCAAGGTCTATAATTAGTTTTATCTCATTTGCAAAGAACTGGTGTTCAATACGTGTTATGGGATCTGTAGAATTGGCGAAAAAAATGTATAATTCCTTTATGTGTCATAACACTTTTGGTATGAACTGTTTCCTGCTAGTTGCTGGTTTTTGTTTGTTTCTAGGAGAGAAAAAAAACCCCAAACCTCTTAACTTCCTTTAGTTGACTATAGTGCACTGGAACTTCATTTTCTGTTAGGTACGCTACCTTTCAGAGTCTTTATTTGCTCCATCAGCTAACAGTTTCTTGACTTGTATTTTGCAATTCTGTTACAGGGCTTTTTCAGGAGGAGTCAGCAAAGCAATGCGACGTACTCCTGTCCTCGTCAGAAGAACTGTTTGATTGACCGAACTAGTAGAAACCGCTGCCAACACTGTCGATTACAGAAATGCCTTGCTGTGGGGATGTCTCGAGATGGTAAGCTCTGCTAACAGGCAGCTTAACTGCAAAAAGTAAAGTAACTTCTAGTGTGCGGTGTGTTCAACTAAAACAACATAGGATTAAAAGTTAATTGTGCGTGGGGCTGATAGCTGAGTGGTTTTTGTTACTGTGTGTTAATATAAATCAAGGCACGTATGAGGTTCTTGGATTTATTTTTTCCTACTCATCTATTATAGTTCTCACATAAGAGCCTTGTCTCTGGTCACTCCATGAAGATGCAATTTTTAGTCTAATGTTAATGCTTTGTGTTCATTCCAATTCAAGTGACATGTCAGAGTTGCCATATTGGTACACATCGGAACTGTTCCACAATACATAGAGACTTTTAAATGTATATCATGAGTAATGGAAACAATGCAAAGAGAAAAGAGTGTGGTGTTTTTCCGGAAGTAGAATTCTGAAGAAGATGTGTTCCAGTGCTGTTAATATTAAGTCCAAAATTACACCTAGTGTAATGATGAAAACCCACTTCTGTAAATTGGAAGCTTATGTAACTCAATTAGAACCGGATTGCAGCTGATACTTGCACACCTCCCCCGTAGAGGGAGCGAAGCTGCTGCCATCACTTACCCAATTTGAAGGTCTGACTCAGTCTTCTCCCCTTCCATAGTGACAGCAGCACTACGTGTTCTACAAATACATATGCATTACTCCATGTACACAAGGCTCGATTAAGGAGATTGTTTTCAGATTACATATACTTCTAGAATTACATTGTCTTAATTTTTTTTTTTTTTTATTGGGCATGAAACTGAAAACCTGGAATGGTTGATCAGGTAATTAGTCCCTTCGGTATTTGCTTTCCTGGAGAAAAATACAAGGTGGTAGTCATTCTCCTAAATGATGAGGCTTTTATGGCTGATACAGGTCCCAGAAATCACATCCTATGTCCTTGGGAGCTCCCTAGTTGTTGCAAACCACTTGCTTCTAGCATACACTTAATACTTCTCAAAGCAGTAATAATTTTGTGGAGAAAAATACACGTGTGTGCATACACACACTTATTATTTAGCCTACACAGTTTTGGTTGTCACAGTAAGCTGCACAAAGCAGGTTCTGTGGTTCTTCCCATGTGCTTCAGTTCCAGGATCACTAAAGCTTGCTTTTGATACTCTTGGAGATAGACCCCCACATGTTTATTCCTACCTTCATGGTGTAGTATGAACATACAGCTAGTAGGATGTGAACAGTTCATCTCAGGCCAGTGTATTCTGGTTTAGCTTCTACTTTTCCAAGTAGGATTTGAATGCTGAGGAGATGCATCTGTCAAATTCAGTGGACATATACGAGAAAATCTTCTTGGTATAGAAGTGGAAAGCTAATGAAGTAAGCTAAAACAGTGACTTCTAATGTTCCGTTTAAGTAGCATGTTAAAACCATCTTTTAAAGAGCAGATGCTGCAGCTATGTGCCCTGTAACTGACTGAAGTGAGCCTTAGGTCTGCTCATCATGCTGGTTTGCCATTTATACTGTGTCCTCCTGTGTAGTATTTAGAGACCCAAGACAATTAAAGCGCAGTAGTGGATTTGTAGAAATGTAATACATTGTGTGTCTGTATTTCAGCTGTAAAGTTTGGTCGAATGTCAAAAAAGCAGAGGGACAGCCTGTACGCGGAGGTGCAGAAACATCGAATGCAGCAGCAGCAGCGAGATCATCAGCAGCAACCAGGAGAGGCAGAGCCACTAACACCAACATACAATATCACCACCAATGGGTTAACAGAGCTACATGATGACCTCAGTAATTACATTGATGGGCATACCCCTGAAGGTAGCAAAGCAGACTCTGCAGTTAGCAGCTTCTACTTAGACATACAGCCTTCTCCAGATCAGTCGGGTCTTGATATTAATGGAATCAAACCAGAACCAATATGTGACTACACACCAGCATCGGGCTTCTTCCCTTATTGTTCTTTTACAAATGGGGAGACCTCTCCAACTGTGTCCATGGCAGAATTAGGTAATGAGAGAGAAAAGCTTCCATTGTAATTGTTTTAATAGTAGCCTTTGGATTAAAGTGACGTATTGAGGCAGGTGACAGTGAGAATGCTGCCTGAGTCCAGGTGTGAGCCTGTGCGGGCGTTCTTCTGCGAAGCACACAACATCCTCACCGGGTGCGTGGTGAACGCCTTATGGAACTGGGCTAAAAATCCCAGGAGCTGGGGGTTCATCAGCTCCAGTAGTGCTGGGTTTGTTTTCAGCCCTTGTAGCAGAACCCTCTGAATCCTGATTAACAAGCTAATTTTTAGTGCTGAGCAAACAGAGTATTGCTCTATTTGTGAATTCTTTTTGAACATTTTAACTTCTTTTTCATTACCTCAGACGTCTTTGTTTTCCAACAAAAAGTGATGAGGCTGGTTTTCTTCTGCTCTCTACCTCTACCTGGGAAATAAGAAACCAAAGCACCGTTTAACCTGAGGGCTGTTCATTCTCCTTGCCACTGGTTGAAGAGAATGTGGCCCCAGATACTTCAGAAAATCTTTGGATTTAGCACATTCTGATAAGTTCCCCAAGAGTCTTATAACAACCACGTTAATTAGCACGTTTGCTTTAAGCTCTTCCCTGAATGATTACACTAGGTCTGAATTCCACAATTATGACTTGTCAACATCTGAGACTCGAGTTAGAACGTGCTGTGTGAACTGGTTATAAGCAACCTGGAACAGGACATTAGAGAAGTGGCTTTAAGATTCTGTTACATAAACAGCCAGTTGTTTAAAACTCATTTTGCTTGCTTCAGCAACGCTTTTGCAAATCACGCCGTTATGAAAACTTGAAAAATCAGGTATTCTCAGTTAAATTTTTCTGTTTTGCTAACTTTTTTAAATTAGAGGCAAGTAGATTATATGAAATTTTGCTTGGCTTAATTTATGTTCTTTTGAGGAATTTTGCAGAGAGAAGGGGACAAAGCAGCTTACTTTTTAATGTCCTGATGTTACAGAATGCAGTTCTCTGCAATATCATTTGTTGTGGCAGCCAAAATATTGTATCTGGCTTGAGTTCAAATAACTTCAGTTACAGATGAGCAAAACTGAGAGCAAAAAATAGGGTTAAGGCTATCCTACCAGCTTTGGCTCATTCAAATGGTTGTTAATATTCTCATGGGAGTTATTAAAAGATAAAGACTAAACCCACAGAAAAAAAGGAAGGGCTTTTCTGTCCTAGGCCAGATGCTGAGTTTGGAACACTGGCCTAACCTAAGTTTGTCATGTTGCTTACCTTTATTTACATAGTTCTTGCATTTAAACCCCACAGAACATTATTTGAGTGCCCAGCATTGACATTACCGAACAATGTTTGAAGAATATTTGTCTTCTAGACCAGGGTTTCAGTTTAGAAAGGTGTGGCTGGTCAATGAAAGTATTTAGGTGTGTGCTGAAATACACTCCGGAACTGAGGCTGATGTTTGTGAATAACATGGTGATATTTCACCTTCTGTAACCTGCAGGGGCACTGGTATAATGCTGTCTGTTGCTGCTCCTGAGAGCAAATGTTTTAAGTACACACTTATAAGAAAAAAAAAAAAAAAAATTCTCTGAAATACGTGAAAGCTATGATGACAACCAAAGTATAAACTACTTTCTTTTCAACATTGTTAATTGTTCAGGTAGCATGTGTAATCTGATTTTACCTCAGCTGTATGTTAAAGAGTTTGCAAGTAGCATCTTATGTCAAACTATGAATGCAGTAGGTATGATACTAAACAGACTGATTGGTCCAGCAGTTCAGTTTGTAAAGAGTTGCGTTTGGTCATTATCAAGCACAGGTTTCACAGAAGACCTAACACTTGAGTCTCTCAGAATACTCCCATGTTGTTCATGATCATTGTTCTTGTTCATTTTAAGCCTTCCTTTTCAGCGGCCTAAATCGCAAAAGCACTAGCTGCAGAATTGTGTGAGACAAATCACCAGGCCTCGACTGGTCCAGTGCTAGAACAGGAGAACGGATATGTGTGAAGAGTCAGGGTAGCAAAGAGAAAGCCAAAGTAGAAGTGGAGTTCAGATGTTTAACTGCTATACATGCCTGTGAAGGTGTTCCTGAAGCTTCAGTAAATGTCTGCCTTGCGGGTCCTTTAAGCAAGTATAGCAGCAGAAAACAGTTTATTTGGAATTAAAATGTTGTAAGGAAATTTTAAGTCATGTGCAGTTAACTGACTACTCTATGAAGAATAGCTTATGAAAAAAAAAAACCCTGAGTCTTTAGTGTGTCATATTAATTAACTGGATTCACTAGTAAGTTTCTTTTCTTAATATTTTTGTAATGGCATGAAAGTAGAAAAGAAACAAAACTTCTCCCTCAAAGTCAGTCTCATGTCTAGGCAGGTGGTAACTATCTCTCTTTATTAGTGGAAAGCTTTTGTTGTTTAAAAACGGGTGAATTTAGCTTCTGAAGCTCTATCTACTGCTTGTCTGGCAGCTATTATATTCCTTACCCACATGTGACACATCGTGTCCTGTATTCAGCAAAACTGACCCCACCCAGATTTTTGTACCCTAACTTGAGGGGTCCACGACCTCGCTCAGTCAACTGTTTTTCTGTGGCTCTGTGTAAGAATGTAATTCTCAGCCCCGGTTTCAAAGCTGACAAATCTTAACGCTAAAGGCAGCAAGGCCGCTTACTGAATTGGCAGTGGTTTGAGTGCTGCCACATTTCCCCGTTCGCCTTTAGTTCACCAGCTTTTTGGCCTTGCAGGCCTTCTTTCGCACCCTCTGCAGCGTGAGGGAGACGTAGGTCCCCATCAGAAGTTTGTTTTTTCCACAATAAGCTGACGCTCACCACGGCGTAGGGGAAGGCCCCTGCGTGGTGCCGGAACGAGGCCAGCAGCCGCGGGGTGCGTGTGTGTGCCCAGAGTGCCCTCTAACGGGTGTGCCGCCCTGGGCGGGGCGGCCCGGCCCGGCCCGGCTGCCTGCTGCGCAGCCCTGCCTCTTCCGCGCCGTCAGGGCTCTGCGCTGAATTGTGGAGGGGTTTCTCCTGAAGCAAAGCGCAGGACGATTGAAATGAAAGTGTCCTTTCTATAGCTCTCTCTGTCCGTCCCCCCAGCCCGTTGCCCCTGGAATGTGTCAGCTTTCTCAGGTCTGAAAGTACAGTACAGCCTGGCATTTTTAACGTGTCACTTTCTCGTCTCTCTTTTAGAACATCTTGCACAGAATATTTCCAAGTCACACATGGAAACTTGCCAGTACTTGAGAGAGGAGTTACAGCAGATAACATGGCAGACTTTTCTGCAGGAAGAAGTTGAGAACTATCAAAACAAGGTATAAAAGCATGCCAAATTATGGCCTGCTTTTTTGTAAAGCATGGTATTTCCATAACACATTACAAAATTCACTTTTTCACTGCTTTCTGTTTATTATCAGGAGTGTGTACTTTTGTGTGTTTTCAAAAAATTGATATGCTAGAGTCGAAAGCAGTAAGATGGTCAGGATATCTTTTGCATTTGTGATTTTTACAGGTACAGGAGAAGATAAAGCCACTTTAAAGATACTCTCTTTAGGAGACAGATAATCCTAAAATCTGTCTGATTGATAAACAAGGTTAAGAAACCAGAGAAATTTTTCAATCCTAAACAGCTTGTTATTTCTTAATTTGTAACCTCCTGGATCAACATCAAATCCTCCTGGATTCAGCATCAAAAGCTGAAGCCACCAAGTTTTGTAATTTTCCATAATGTGTTTCGTTTTGAGTTCACAAACACAGAACTCCGTCAGACTTCCAGCCGTCAGTGCCTGGTTGAAATCCTGATTCATTCTACAATTGGCACTCGGGTCTTTTGGTTTTACCTCTACAGCAGCAGCCAGTGCTGCCACCCCACCAGTGGGTATTGTCAGAGGTAACCGATGTTTGTATTTGCAACCTGCTTTCTACCCACAAATCACTACCAAATGGCTACTTTTGAAAAACTGGCTTGGAAGGCACTGTTAAAGCACACTGTTCTTTGAACATATTTTTCATTTTAAAAAGATAAAAAAAATAAAGATATAATTTATTCCACCTGGTAGGCAATTTCATTTTGAATTATTACCAACATACGAACAACTCACTAGTTGCATGCCACCTTCATATTGTTAACAAGATGATCTTCTTGCCCACTGAAATGACCAGATTCATTATACTTTGACACTTTTGGCTTTTGAAATAAAAATACTTCAACCTGGATCTCTTCTGACATCACTGAAGAAGTCTTCTATATGTGCCTCTAAGTCTTGTATTGTCCCTTATGCACATGAGACTTTGGCTTTGAAATTAATTCTCCTCGTTTTATAAGCAGACTGCATCCAGGAGTGCTGGAGGGATTTCACTCCACATTTTTCTTTTCACCTCAGTATCACTTTACGCAAATGGGCTTTCCAGACCTTGATTATTAATTTTTTTATTTTTCTTCTCTCTCAAACAGCAAAGGGAGGTAATGTGGCAGTTATGCGCAGTCAAAATAACAGAAGCTATACAGTATGTAGTGGAATTTGCCAAACGCATTGATGGCTTTATGGAACTGTGTCAAAACGATCAAATTGTGCTTTTAAAAGCAGGTATGTGGGTGAGTTTTAAGGTCTGCTTCTATTAGTTTTGGCTGAGGAAGGTGCTACACTGATTGCACATGTGTATGCATATATTGTACAATGATAGTTTAAAATAATACAAGGGAAAGCACCTTACAAATTGTCTGTGTCTTTGTTTGAAATAATACACCTCCTTAGGCAGAACATATTCAATTCTATGTATGAAATTTTCATTGTGAACCAAGGGAGCAATGGATGTGTAAAGATGGAAAAGTTGGATTCCATTTTTTAATTTTGGCTTAGCAATAGCAAATAACACCTTTCAAGGTCAAAATCCAGACTGTTCTATGCAAGACGTTGTAGAGGCAATACAGTTTGCAAATACTGGACAAAGTTGCCAAAGCTTTGTGAACACAAATCTAAATGAGCTGCTTTGACTTCAGAGACCTCATTAATAAAAATTATCGGAGTTTATTAGCATTAAGTAAGTTACTCAAGCAAAAACTTAGAAGGGGGTTTATGGGAATTCTTTTAATTCTAGTAGCAAATGGAGCTATGTTCTGTTGCACTACAGAAACGTACTACCCTACTTGATTGAACACAAGGCATAGGATATTTTTTAAATCCTCGCTAGCTCTTTGCAAGTGGACTCTCTATGTAAATAGTCACATGTACACTGTTTCTGTTCTAGGGTCTTTAGAGGTTGTGTTCATCAGAATGTGCCGTGCCTTTGACTCCCAGAACAACACAGTCTACTTTGACGGCAAGTATGCTAGCCCAGAGGTTTTCAAGTCTTTAGGTAAGGAAATGTCAAGTGTTTTATCTTACAAACAAACAAACAAACAAAAAAAAAACCCACAGAATAATAAGGTGGGAAAGCAAGGTGACAGCTGCTTTAAAAATGCAGGCTATAATGTTCAAATAACAGAGTTCTGAAGCTCAAACTGCTTATTTTGTGAGCAGCAGTCTTGCTGGCTCTTAGAGGCCAAGCTGATTTCAGGAGTTAAAACAGCTTAACTCTGTGCAGTAAAGGACTGTGGTGTTGAAATTCAACACTTAGATCTGGGCATAGCAGTTTGGACACACCTGTTGAGACCAGAAGCCCAGATTTCATACTGAGCGTAACATTTGGTATATCCTGTTGGAAAAAGCAGCAGATTTTAAGCTAATTTGGGGTATGCCACCATTACTGCTTTGAAGATACTAACAGTGTTTTGTAATGTGCGAAGTCCAGTGATTTGTAGGTTAAATACTGTAAATGGATTTCTTTTATTAAACTATGCTTTACGGTTTTGAATTTTTTTCTGTATATTCTTGCTAATCTTAAAAGGTTGCATTTCACTGGGTGTAGATTTGGGATGTAAGCCATTCTGGAGGGCAGTGAAAATAAAGCAGCAGAGGATACTGTACAATTACTGAAGTATTCTCTGCCTTTTTAAAACACCTCAAGGGACAAGGTCTGAGTGCAAACAATTCAGAGGATGCGGTATCAGATGTGGGTTCCAATGAAAGATAATTTTCATCTGTTACCAACTACTCCCATAAATTTAGGCTGGGTTGGAGTTGATGTGCAGAGGAGAGCCCTCTTCCCTCAGGCTGCACTCCCCTTCAAAACAGGGCTCTACTTTCGCGACCTGCGTAACGGCATGTGTAACAGCAGCAGTAACCTGACTGACACCTGTGTGAACAAGAGAATGGATGAAAGGAGACAGAGTTCCTTTTCTGCATGAAAAGCTTTCAGACCTTGGCTTCCCCCTTTGCTCCTCCATGTACCTTGTATGCCTGTCTTCCCCCTCTCAATCTGCACTTTTCAAGTACACATTTCAAACCAAAATTCCACTTAGAACAGAAACAAATCTAAACCAATTTTGGCCTCAAAAATGGCTTAGGTGTTATCCATATTTACCCCAAAAGAACCAAACATGGAAGATACCATGTGCAAAACCTTCAAAATACTGGCTGCCAGGGGGCGGGAGCAGGGGACTCGTGGGAGTGGGGTAATAAGCTCAGCCATGAGGGAGCTCTTGCTACCGTCATTCCTTAAGGAGAAGACTGTTCGTCTAGGAAGTATTTTGCATCCATTTCTTACCCCCATGTTGAATAAATCAACAATTGTGTACCTCTGAATTAGTTTCAATGTGGCATGAGCTGTACCTTCTTATTGGCAGGTTGTGAAGACTTCATAAGTTTTGTGTTTGAATTTGGAAAAAGTTTATGTTCTATGCACCTGACAGAAGACGAGATAGCTCTGTTTTCTGCATTTGTTTTAATGTCAGCAGGTAAGAGATAAAGGTTTGGTTTAGGTTTATTTGGAAGAGGTCATTTTTATTATGAAGTGGTTGTAATTACAATGTTAAGACCATAAGACAATGTGAAATCTCATAATCTGTTTGACTGTCTCCTTAATTTTAATAAGTACACTGAAACTACAAATTCAGGAACAAATTTCTTAAATTGGAAATCCTAATATAAGCCCTTGGTTTGCAAGTATTGGCCTCGTTGAGGATGCAGCTTCTTTGCAAAAACTTGGATGCATGTGAGTGAGACCACTGGGTCAGTCTAGGTGAGACAGGCAGAAGGTAACCACTGAATTTATACAGTCAGCTTTCAATATATGTGGGCTTGCAGCTGCAGCAGGATTATCTCAAGCACATGACAGAATGCTTCCAGAGTCACCTCAGCTCTGTTAAGCAGGGTTGTCATTTCAGTGTGGTACAAGGTACCACAGGTAGCTTGGGTATCTGTCCCTGTTGTGAAACTGGCTACACTGAGAATTATGGTGCCAGACATAGAAATCACCCCAAGAGTCAGCCTGGATCTACCATACCCATGATGAAAATAACTTCATAATCTCAAGTAGATACAGACAGTATGCCAGGTTCTGATCAGGTGGAACAAGATACCAGTGCAGAAAGTCAGTTTGTGTCTAGCCTAATACTCAAGGAAATAAATGCTCTGGTTTTAGTCTGCACACAGACAACTCAGGAGTGGTGGTGGAAGAGTCTGCTAGCAACAGTGGCTTTACTGAGATATTCTCATGCTGTTTGCCAGATTGGAAGTATATTAGCCCTGGGCCTTAGTATGTGAGCCACAGAATCCCACAATTCTGCCACCACACAGAGGGTGTAGCAGCTAATCCAACTTTCCTGTTAGGATGTTCAGGAGTTTGTTTGTTTGGTTTTTTTTTTCATAATAGCTGAATATTTGTTTCCGATTTTTTCTGTCTATCAATGTACATCTTATCAGAAAGATCCACTCTAACTACTTGTTCATGATGTGATCTATTCATTTCCAACTAAAAAGTTGCTAGCTTCATTTTGTATATGCCCTGCATTTTACAGGTCTTGTTAGCAAGTGATTTAAAAAATCTTACTCAAACATGCTGCAGTCTTCTAATTAAGAGCTTTCTAAAATTAATTTGTAAAGCATGTAATAAATATACTCTGAAGCCTAATCATTTTGAAACTCATTTTTTCTATGAGAGTATAGAAAAAGTGGAAGGAAGGCTGCAGACAAGAAAGATGAATCTGTAACAGACTTGATACTTCCTGGTGCACTTTGATTGGTATGTGCAGTACTAGCAGTGTTAACTCCATTTATATCTAGATCGCTCATGGCTTCAGGAGAAAGTAAAAATTGAAAAACTCCAGCAGAAGATCCAGCTAGCACTTCAGCATGTCCTACAGAAGAACCACCGAGAAGATGGAATTCTAACTAAGGTAAGAATCGTACTGTGCCACATCACATGGCTGTGAAAACATCCTTCCTTATGAACAGTATCCTAGTTATGGTGTAAAAGCTTTTACACCGTGATTTTGTTACTTATAAAACCAGAATTCTTTGTTCAAAATCAAGGTGCTTAACTGCAACTATTTACAAAAAACTAGAGGAGGTGAAATGATAATGTACCAGCGGACAAGACTGGCGATGGTCTGAAAAGATGTATTGTAATATTGAACTTCATGAAAAGCAGTTAAGGTTTTTATCCTATTTCTCCTACACAACATTTCTGCTGCACAGAATACTCTTTTCAGTTCTACAGCATGCATACTTTAATCCTTGTGCAATCTCTGCCTGCAAGACAGTTAAGTCCTCGTAACTTGCAATACCCAAACTAACGCTGGTTTTCAGTCTTCCATGAGAAGCTTCCCACACAGCCTTTTTCTTGGCAGTTCTTCTAAATACTGGTGCCTAGGGAAAACAGAAGAGATATTGCATACTATTGCTCTGATCTAAAGTATCTTCACATCATTTTTCAAACATGGAAAAGTGGTGTGATGTCAAAAAGAAAAAAAAATCTGAAGAACTGGGGAAGACCAGGCACTTCCCTGCAGAGGTAGTTTCTTTCAGAACTTGATGCAGCTGGAAAGCTTACACTTAAATTTCACACCACACAGTTAATACAACAGAAGCAGGATGGTCCAGCCCAGGCTTTGCAGGTTGTCCTCATTTCAGATCCTAGCCCATATAGTCCTTTTCCCAGTGTATACTTAGGATATCTTTGTTGGGAGAACGTCTCTTCCATGTGCTTTGACACGAATCATTTACTTACTAGGTTCAGTGAGTATAATGTTCGCAGTGAGTTTCAAAGTAGACAGGACTGCCTTCTGCCAAAAGAATTACTAAATTGCACAAAGGAAGATCCAGCCCTTAAATCCTGCTGTATCATTCAGTGCTTGGTAGGCAAGTGAGGAAACCTGATGATGCATTTTCCTAGGAACTTAAAGAAAAGATTTTTTCATGAGTAGAATGAAACAGCTTTGTAGTGGTTTCATTTATTTATTTATTTAAATAACAAGAATCCACGACTATGCACCTGAAATATCATTGTTAAGGTAAACAACTGGAGTGTTTGGGAGAGCTTTAATCCTAAGAGCGAGATTGGGAGGCCTGGTTCCATATGTGACCATATGACGTCTCTTCATTTTTTTACAGTTAATATGCAAAGTGTCTACTTTAAGAGCACTGTGTGGACGACATACAGAAAAGCTTATGGCATTTAAAGCAATATACCCAGACATTGTACGACTTCATTTTCCTCCACTTTACAAGGAGCTGTTCACTTCAGAATTTGAGCCAGCGATGCAAATTGATGGGTAAACGTATCACCTAAGCACTTCTAGAATGTCTGAAGTACAAACATTAAAACAAAAGAAAGGATAAAAAAAAAGAGTAAGGCAAAAAAAAAAAAAAAGAAAGAAAACCAAGACACTTTATATGGCCCTGCACAGACCTAGGGAGCCAACACACTGCACATCTCTTGGCGGTCGGGGTCAGGCGAAGGACGGGAAACAATGAAACAAAGTTGAACTTGTTTTTCTCATGCATATGATTTCCATTATGCCTACAAATATGGACCCTTTTTCTGTCTCAGCTTCTCAATCCTTGACCTCTGTTTACACAGATTGAGGGTAGTAATGTCAGAAGGTTGTTTTCTCTTGTAGTTCACTGCCCAGACTTTTGACAGAACAATCAATTTGTTGATCAGAACAGAGAGTCCACCTAGTAATCAGCGACTGGTGTGCATTGCAGAGATTTCAGCATCAGTTTGCACAACTTGTTCATTGTATCATGAAGGACGATTTTTTTCACCCACCACTGTTTGCCAGTAGACAGAATGGCATGAAAAGGGTCCATAGCAATAGCAACAATAGCATTATAATATATTACAGGGTAAATGGGCATGAAGACTATATATAGCAAAAGAGATATTGTTTATATATTGTTTTAGTTAATATAAAATGTAGTTACTGGTATAGCTTTTCTTGTTGAATTGATAAGGCACTTTCATTTTGCACCTTTTTCTTTAAATTAAATGCTAGCGTGTTCATTGTTGTGTTGCATGTGCACCAGAAATTCAAGTTTAACTGAAAAAGGTTTGGCAGGTACTGGTACATTGGGAGGTTTTTATGCTGCTGTTTTCCATGTTACTTTTAAAGAGAGGCTGGTCATATCCTGAAATGGTTACAGAATTTTTTTTTTAAAGAATTGAAAATAATTATAATTTTCTAAATTAAAATCAGCTTTTCAGGTGTTAAATGCGAAGGTACTTTTATTTTCCTGCCTTTCAAACCTGGGTGTTTAACATTACATGCCTAAATTCAAATTTAGGTGCACAAGTCTTATTTTCAAAGGTGCTGTGTTGCCATGGTCAAAGTTAAACTCAGCAATTACAGATTGCAGACAAATGAGTAATGCAGCATCCTTGAAAATCAGTCTGCTAAATGAAGTGTATTTCTTCCCACCTTTAACCCAGTTTTGAGGGTATTTACTCAAGTCTGTATCTACAGTAAAAGTATGTGTGTATGACATGTATGTGGAAAAGCAATTTTGATACATAGTATTACATACTTTTGTACTCCATATCGTAAACAATGCCTTCAAATTCCAAACTCTAGTCTATCAAAATCCATAAGGGGTTTGTCTTTGACTTCAGAGAGATAAGATGCTGACCCATGATCTTCCAGCATCCAGCAGTTCAGTTTCAGGTAGCTGAAAAGAGTAGTCCATTGCTCTCCTTATTTAAAAAGATGCACTTTAAAGTTTGTCAGATGAGGACAGGCTAACAGAGTAAAGGCACACTGTTGCTAGAAAGAATTGCTTTGTACTCTGTACAATGCCTGGAAATCATTACGATCATATATCTGTATTCTGTAATTCCAAAATTGTGATTCCCGTGTTGCGTAACCAACCAATAAGCTAAATCTTGCAGGCTTTATTAGTATTAATTACCATTCCATTTAGGAGGAACACTGAGCAAATCTGGCAAGTATACCTAGTTCTGAAGGAAACAGATTCACAATAAACAATGTCAGAAAATAAACTGTGGATGTTTGAGCCAGAGGTGCCTAATTGGTTGGGATGAGATGGAGACTTGTACTGTGGATGCCTTGTAGGCCTACACAAATGAAGTTTCTGATGAAGTACAGGAACTTCAAAAAAGGAGTGAGACACAGTGTGCTCCACTGCTTTGATTTCTGAGGATAAGCATCTCTCTTATACATATTACAGTTGTTGAGAGGTAACAGGCGTGAATAGAAGCACACTGAAACCTAACTATTTTAAAAAAGAGAATTAATTCAGCAAGTTATTATAAGCAAAACAGAGGTTTATTCTGTGATTCCTACATGTTTCCTTTGGGAAATTAATTTAATGGAAATTGAGAATTTTAGCTGTGACACCTACTAAAACTTTTATACTCTGCCACGAACTGCTGTCACTTATCTCTGTGGTTTGTAAGGCAGGAGAGATGAGCATCATGTCATTCCCCTTCAAAGCAGTGAGCCCCTGGGGTATAGGAGGGAAACACCTGCAACTCCATGAGTACTGGGATGGAGCATGAGAGGGCTTTTGGGAGAAGTCCGTACAGCCACCCTTCCACTGCTCCACTGTGCCTGCTCCCAAAGAGGCAGCTCACAGTCCAGCCCCACTGAAACACTTCTCCTAGAATCATTGTTTACTTTATTGGAGTAACTGGCATGATACGGTACTTTGATTCTAATGTGTGTTCCTCTTTTTAAAGCAACCTTTTTAACTAACATGTTTTCTGAATGTGACCAGCCTTTAGGTGCTAGTCCTGTAAAGATCAACTAAACTTAATTTCAGTGTCAACTAATGAATAATGAAGACCTGTGGTTTTTTAGAGAGTGAGATACAACTCCTACTTCTGACAACAGGTAGACTATCAGGCAAAAAATATTTGGGGATTAATTTTCAGTCACGTCCTTTTCTTACCTTTTCCTAATGAATATTAGTACTTTTACCAGGCATCTAGTTTTTGCTAATGGTTTTGTTTGATACCTAGTTCGGCATATTTACACACATAAGTCATTGACAAGACAGATTTTTGGAGCATTTACTAATAAAATACATAAGCATAAAAAGGCTCTGGATAGGGCTGTAGCTGAAAGCCCCTTGCATCTGAAAGCAGCTTGTGACATGATCTTCCAGGCCAGAAAGTGCTGTCCTTTATGTCTGTGGAGGCTCCCATGAACTGGCGCCTTGCTAAATCGGGCTCTGCATACATACCCCAAGAAACTCTGCTTTCCCGATCACAGCTAACAGCCAGTTGGCAGCAGAACACCGTTTCCGGTTTGCGCCTCTGAGAGAGGGGGAAAAGGGCAGCAGCACAGCAGAGATACCGGTCAGACTTCTGTTGCCAAGGAGGCTTTTATGAACAGGGACATAGAATAACGCAGAGCGACAGCCACGTAAGAACCCAGCGCAGCGGAGACAGCGCACTCCCAGAACCTCTGCGACTGTGGCCTGGTATCATGATCTACTGAATATTCAGTTAAAAAACACACTTGGGGTCAGTGGATATTCACAAGTATTTTCATAATTTGCCCAGATCACTACAAAAAAAAACCAAAAAAACCCCATGATGTTTGCTGAAGATAAAGGAATAATATATTTGGTTTGCATGATCTGTTCCTTAAAGTCTGCAAAGAGATTTTTATTGGGTGTTACATCTATCTACAGAAATGTTTTCTGGCTTTCTAGGAAAGAGATGCTAAACTAGACTGTCATTTGAACCACCTTAAAACACTTCCAACATCTAACATCTCCACATTGTTAGACCTTTTAAAAACTATAGGATTAGGTGAAAAGGGAGGCTGTTTTTAAGTTTGGTTGTTCTTTATTAAAGCTTATCTATCTTTGTAATGGATACCAAGATATCTGTGTGTGTGTGCGTGCGCCTGCGTGTGAGTGACAGAGAGAGAAAGTGAGTACATTTGTGTGCGCACGTGAGTATCCGCGTGGGTACATGTGAGTGGCTGCTTCTAGGCTATTAAGTGTCAATGGAATAAAGAAAATGTATTCAAAATACTTAAGTCAAAAATAGAAGGTGGAAAAAAGATTTATTCTATACAAAGCCTTGTCTGGACCACTTTAGAGAGACTTCTATTTTTTTAACCCTTCTATAAATGTTTGATGGCACTTGAAATATTCCTGCAATAAAATGTGATTTGTGTAAACATTGAAAAAAAAAAGATTTTGTAATGTGAAACAATGAAAGAAAGTAATGTAATTTTTCTAAAAAACTAAAAAAAAAACAAATGAACGAACTTTGTATTATTTTCTTGATGGAATTTGTCTATTTGTCTTTGGAAAACTTTTTATTTCATTGAATGTGCCATAGTAGAGGTGTGTTCTTCTTTCTTTCTTTTTTTTTTGTTTTGTTTTTTACATTTTAGATTAAAGGAATAGCTGTGTTCCGACATTCCAAACGGCAAGATGACATAGCAGTCATAATTAAAAGGTTTGATTAGTAAGCTTCAATCATTGTTGCTTTTTTTGCACATGTTCTTCATTCCTCTACAGTGCAATATGTACATAGAGCACTTGCGGGTGTAACCTTGATCCCTCAGGGAAAAATACATATTTGTACAGGATTTTTCTTTTTTTTTTTTTTTCTTTTTTTGTTGTTGTTGTTGCTAAGGAATGTCGATTGAATCACTTGTCTGTTGTTGAGGGGCAGCCAGATAATAATCCTAAACCACTGTCTCAAAACATTGTTTAAATTTTGTGCCCTTTTATTATTTACAAAAGAAAAATAAAAGTTATTTTCTGACAGTTCTTTGTGCTGATTGGTGAAAAAAAGGGTAAATAGATAAGCACCTTATGATTGACTTAACTGTGAATGACAATCCATCTCATTATCAACAACAGAAGCCCTAACATTTTGGAGCTGGGGTTAAGAGTCAGAAACTAATGTGCTCAGGGATCTTCTAAAACTCAACAGGGTGGCCAGTGCTACTGGTGGAACAAATTACTTTGTAAAAAACACACTACTATTTCTTCCCTTCCCCCTCCCCTCCAGGCACAAGAGAACTGGATTTTTTTTTAATGCTCTACGGGTGCCTCATTGTCTTACTTAGTTTTGCAGTATAGCTCCTCTTTTGTCTTTATTTTGTTCAAAACAAAAAGTACTCCAGCGCAAAGGTTTTGCAGTTATATTTTAGAAAACAAATTAATGCTGACCCATTAAATAAATGATTGACACTAATTGCAGTACCCTCTGGACATTTTTATAATGACAGGACTATTTTTCCAGCTGAATTTCAATGTTTTGCAATAGAAAATGGATTTTCAGTATGTAAATTATTGTCAAAGAAAACAAATCAGTTTGTAATAGTACAGTAAGAATGAGAAGGTCGTGATTAGGTTTCAGCAATGAAGTCATATAGAAAGGAACACAGATCTGCAGGAACACAAGAACAGCACTTCAGACATTGTCTGTCGTTATTGCCTGTGCTTCATGGCAAAGCAAAACTGACTGGGAAGAAACACTGAGGCTGACGACATTTTCGTACCTAGTACAACAAATACAGCAAAACCAAGTGATTACAATGGCATCAAAAACCAGCAACATCTAGGAAGTCTCCAAGTGCCAAACTGTAGGATTCTGGAAGCCTGTCCAAATTAACCTTGTTCTATCCCTTCACATTTGTGTGAAAATGCAAGTAGAAAAGTAAATAAGCAACTGCAAACTAAATGCACAAGATTTCAACTTTATTTCAATTGGGAAGAGAGTGGATTTCTCCATCAAACATGTCTGTCTTCTTGCAAGAAGCAAGTTCTCCAGTATCTTATTTTTTTTCTCTAAACGTTCCTGAACTCCTTAGTGTAGATAAACTATTAATACAAGTGTTAGAAACAGCATTTACTATCCAATATCCAGAAATAATAAGCAGTTTTCTCTGGAGTATTCAGCGTATGAAATTGCAGCTGTGCTAGCTGATTCAGATTGCACAGAAGAAACAACTTTCTTTTCCTTAGCTGGAGAAATATAACTATTAGAATCATTTTCTTATTATTAATACTAGTATTTATTACTTTAGAAGTTTCATCCATGAATATATTTGAATATTAGCCTCCTATTTTCTTTATGCTTAAATATTCCTGTCAGTAAATCTTTTGGTGGAAATGAGGGCAAATGCATACAGATACCAAATACAACAACAAAAAGAAAAGTTTTAAAATTTAAATGAGTATCTAAAAATCATTGCAGTATGTGCTTTAATCCTAGTACTGTGATAATAGCTGGCTAAATAATGCTAAGGCTCTGGACTTGAGGGGGAAAATACCTAACATTTAGGCTAATATACAGTCTGTCTTTGGAACTCTATTCAGGTACTAAGTAGAATTCTAACATCAATTAAAAGCTGTATTCTACCCTTTTCATCTCTAATGATGCTGTTTAGCTTTTTTTTTTTTTTTTTTTTGCCTTTATCATTGGTAGAATATAGCAATAACTTTATAGCAATAAGTAGGCTATCCAAATAGGAAACAAAGCATGATAAAGGCTTCAGATCAATACTCATAGGTTCATTTCTTCTGCCAAAATCCTCACCTGTATGTCTTCCCTCCTGATCTCATTACTTCTTCAAGCTGAACTTCGCATTCAAGTTGTTCAGCTTGATGCGTGACATCAGACCTTTCCGTTAACATCTGCATGTTTTTGGTGCTCATACGTCCTTTGTATATACTTGTTTTCCTGTAAATCAGCGTTTCTCAAACTTTCTGAAAGCACAGCTCGTCCGGGCTGGATTTCTTCGTGAAG